GCGGTCAGTTTCAGCAGCGGCTGAATCTGGATGCCAGTTCCGACTTACATACAGATTCAACTTAAGAACAAACCTACAGTCCCTATCTTGTACGTAACCCGTACAAGACATTGAAATTCTTCAGGTCCAAGGAAAATGCAGTTTTGGGTCCAGCTTCCAGGGAAACCATTCCCCAAATGGGATCAGAACCCCAAATAAATTATTCAGGTAAGCCCCCTTTAACAGGGAAAGGAAGATATACTCACTGGTCGCTCCCCCAGGTAACAATTATTTACACTGGGCTTGATAGTAAATAAAAGTGATTTTATTAAATACAAGCAGTAGGATTTAATTAGTTGCAAGGGAAAACAGGCAGAGCAAAGTGAATTACAAATTTAAAATAACAAGAAACTGCTCTTATTACAAACTTACCCTAAAGTTGTTCTTATTCCAGCTAAGCCTCCAAACCAAGGATCTAATTTCCCCTAGGGTCTTTGGTTCATTGTTTTGGTTCATTTGTCTTGCCAGCCAAAGACCAAAAACTGAAAAACTTTGCATCTTAAATTGCCTCCCTTTCAGGTGGGAATTCTCCATTTTACATTCTTCCTTTCCATGGAAAATTACCTATTCATTCCCTACCAGTTGGGGAGGTCGTATGACTTCCTAAGACCAACCACTGCTAAGACTTAAAGGATAAAAAAGGCTGTTTACAGGTTATTGAGGGAAACACCTGTGTTGGTTCTCATTTGCACATTTAAAACCATTAAGTATTCCATACCTCATATTTTTGACTTTACGTATAATAAGGATGCATACCTCAAAATAAGATGTACAGATCCAGCAGACTGAGACATTAAAATTGATAAGTTACATGAGGTATTTTGTTCAAAGCATCTTCAAGTTATGCATATTTGTGTCCAAAAGTCAATTTCATAAAGCATGGGGTGGGAGGTCTGGCATAATGACTCTTCTAGGCATGGGATATGATATAAGAACCAAGGAGGTAGGTTGGAAAGTAATAGTGAGGCATACTGTGTTACGTCTCTCTTCGTCTTTCCTTTCTTTCTCCTGCCTACTCAGTCTCACTGTACCAGAGAGACAGCAAGGGAGTCAGCAAGGAGAGCAGTGGGAAGGGAAGAGAAATTGCTCTGCAATCTGAACAGCCTCTAATATTCTCTTCAAAAAGAAACTTTAGAACAAACTCTTCTCATTCCCTCTAGCCCTGCTTATGAACAATACAGGGTTTTACCTATGAAAGCTGATGATTTAATATATTTGTTAGTCTCTAAGGTGCCACAGGACTGCTTGTTGTCTTTTAGCCATAGCAGGGACACATGTGGGTGTCACCTCAGATGAGATACTATGAGATACTTGGGTGTTGTGACATTTCTCTGTCTCATGCTCCTGAGGTGCTACTTAAATAAAAGTACTGTAGTGAGATTCATTCAGGATAGAAAAACTGTAGCTTTGTGCTTCATTGGTCATGTCTGCACTGCAAAAGTATTCAGCCAGCCGAGACTCAAATTTCAGTATGCAGTGGACTCACTGCAAACATCAGATGGGTTATCTTGCTCATTCAAAGTCCTAGTGAAGGAATGTTGATGATATCCCCAGGATATTACAATCCACTGGAGATGTGGTATCTGAATTGTTTTGTCTGATTTGCCTGCAAGCTCAGTGAGTCAGGGATACATACTTTGAACTGGCTTTTGCACATCTCCAAGCATGCTGTTGGTACTTAGCAAAAAGTAAACGTGTAACAAAGTTTCTTCTGTGTGTAAACACAGTCCAGTCAGAGAATGACTGGAAAAAGAAAAAGGCTTGTAAAGCTTTGCTCACACAGAAGTTTCTGCTCATTCCTTTTGCACCCTATGAATTCAAGCAGTGTGTGTTAGGAACTCCCTTAAAAGCTTCTATATACATTTTCATTTTCCATTGAAATTTGTCAGGATACAATAAGCTGTCTACTTTCCCAATGCCTGAGCTTCACCAACATGACAATACTTTTAATCTCTTTCCTAACCCATTTCTTGGTCTGCAACAATCTTTCTTCACATGCTTGCTAGGTGAGGCCACATTTTTTTTTCTGGCTCTACTCAGTAAAATCTAGTCCTGTAGCACATTAGAGACTAACAAAAATATCTAGGATTGTGAGCTTTCATGGGTAAAACCCATTTCATCAGATGAGTTGGAGTGGAAATGGCAGAAACCAGGATATATATATAAAATGGCAAAACTGTTACCTCCTAGATTCCATTATTTCCTCTTCAGCTCATATGATATAGAGGAAGAGTAAATAATAGAACAATGACTTGAAGTGATTGATTTTGGATCTCAATATCTGTGATTCCCTTTATTAAAAATGTAAACACTGAAATTATTAAGCCTGTAATTTTATTTATAATGTAGCATGAAACAAACAGTTGATGTTGTGGAAATCTGGCTAGAATCTGAAATTAATACAATGTCTTCCTTAGCTTGTAAAAATCATGCATCTGTGACCATGACAAGCTTACCATGCAGTGAGCTTATTATTTTTTACTGTACATAAATAGTTTTCATCCTGCCTAGTCAGAGATCTATTGTTGCTTTCATAGCATTTGAATGTTCAGGAAAAGGTTGAATATACTTTTGCTTGCTCCTCCTGTCCTCATGTGGCAGCTGGATCTGCTCTGATGAAGCAGTTAGAAAAGAACATAAAGTTAGAGAAATGTTGCATTAACTGGTGGCAATTCCAGGCAGCAATTAGTTTCTACTGAATGAGAAAGTAGGAAAACAGAACACACATTTATTCTAACAATGACATAATTGCAAAGCCCTGGGTATTACATTTTAAACTATAGCCTAACTTGGTTTGTATCTTTGCAAAGTTTTCCACAGAAGTAACTGAGAAATTACTAATACAAATGGCACTTTTTTCAGCTCTTTTGGTAGGTATCCCACTCTTCACAAGTAGAAAAATGGAACCTTAATTATATGCCTCAATCACTTGCACATCAGTCATTATGATTTATCTCATACTATTTTTTCCCTTTTTTAAAAATTTTTTAAAAGAAAAACTTTAAATGAAGCTGTCAGCTGGTTCATGTATTTTTGGTGTTTTGTCAATAGTTTAAATGAATAGTCTTTTATGTGTTCCCTAAGAGAGACTGCCAACTTGAAATCATAGAGCAGATCATATGAACACCAATTAAATCAAATCTGGATTCCTTCCATCTCAGGCACTCTAGTGCTGTCATCTTAGCTGTGCAGAACTATGTGGTGTAGTATTATCTTAGGTAACAGGGCGGTCCTTTGGGTTTATGGGGCCCTAAGTAGTACTAAGCAAAGATGGAGAATGCGGGTAGTCCAATGTGCTGAAAAGCATAGGATGGACTAAGATCTAAGGTTTAAGGATGCAGTATTATTAAACTGATGCCCCTGTGCCTGATGGCAGCCATAGGTGTGTGATTTTTTTTTTAGGGATATAATTTTATAATCTTCAGCAATACACTAATAAAATGAAATATTTTTAAAACAAATTTTAAACTAAGGTTCTGGGGACAAACACCGTAAATACAAAAACTGACAGGGCTGACAAATGCCTCTTAAATGGATTCATTACCACTTGAATGGCTTTCACAGGTTTAGTGTTTTGCTAATAGGTCTGGCAGGCTTTTTTACTTTAAGTTAGATAGATCCTTTCCAGAGAAATCAGAGACACTGAACAGGCAGGTTGGTGGACAAATCTTCTGGTGACCTATGCAACTGCATGTTCTGTGTATGGGTAAAGATGCCTCTGTTAGGTAACATACTCCATGTGCTCCAAAAATGTTGAATAGCCATTCTGATCCATGTATCCTTTCAGTGCAGTTTACAGTAGACCTCATGAACAGAATGTGCAATGTTTTTCCAAGATCCTTTTTCCAAAAACTATGACATTTCTTAGTGTTTTACCCCTTCCAATTGGTTTTTAAAATAATGCCTGAAAATGTTACAATTAGTTGTTTCCTTTGTTTATGGTTTAATTTAAAACTGCAATTCATAACCATAAATATGGTGCATTTATATGGAACATAGCAATATCAAATAATTAACCAATTAATAAATAACAGAATTTTGTGAACAGATGGTGTGAATATGGTAAAAAGATGGACTACTTTCTATTACAAATAATAAAGGTGTATACTGGAATTATACTGTTCGGTAAAATTCCAAGAACACTTCTGAGCAGTCCAATCTGATTTTTCCCCAGCATTTTGCAGGATGATTCATTGCATCTTTACTACCAATGCCTTTTATCTACTTTTATTTTGGACTATCTGATAGTGATGGTATCTTGAACTCCTCCCTTGGTAGTAGGTTCCATTTTCCTTCTATTGTTGCACCAGTATCTTTTCGTTTTCTTAATATGTAGATTACATATGTTCTTTCAGCTATTGTTCCATATCCTGCAAGAACATGAATATATATTTTTCTCCTATTAGGTTGACACCTCAATGATATCGTAAGTTAACCCTTCAAAGTACTTTTCTACACTGTAAATTTTTGACTTCATTATTTTCTGCTTGTTTCTTGAACTCTAAGCTAAAGGTGGAAACTAAATCTTTTTTCTGTTGTCAAAGTTTTTCTGCAAGAAAAATTTTACAGTTAACTTCACTCCAAATTATATATTTAAGCTGCCTATCTTTGCATGATTTTGCAGATTTGTTACAGTATATCCTCCAGCATTTTAAATGTGTTTTTCCCAGGGTTTTGTAAACTAGCATTCCCTATCTTATATATGATCACCTATATCTGTATCCAAGAACAGAACTGGGCTTTATTACACGTTATTTAACGTGTACCCCCCAGATTTCTTTCAGGACCCCTAAGGGTACTCGGACCACTGGTTGAGAAACACTGCTCTAAATGATCCAGGCTGACCTGAATGATCAGTCAGCAGAATTAAAAATGTATCTAGTTCATAAAATCTATAATGTTGGGGCAGTATACATTTCTTGATGCTATGACAGGTTTATGTTAATCTCTGTTAAATGGTGATGACAGTTTAAGCATGTTTGTTTTTCTCATGTCTTTTGCAGCAGTATCTCTCTATTACTTCCCTGTTTTTCTCACTAAAAAAATTAATATAGGCCATCAAGTACTAGAAATGTCCCTCTACCATGTATATTGGCCAAAACAGACAGTCTCTGCATCAAATGATAAATGTGCACAAATCAGACATCAGGAATAGTAACACACACAAAACAGTAGGGGAGCACTTTAACATCCCTGAACATTCAGTAATGGCTTTGAAAATAGCCATCTTTCTACAAAAGAATTTCAAAAAATGGGTATAAAGGGAGACATCTGAATCGAAATTCATTTGCAAATTCAATACTCTCAGTTTAGGATTGAACACATTACAAAGGCAGTTTCCCCTCTCTGAGTATTCACATCTCACTTATCTTAGTATTTAAACATCTATCATTTATATTAAAGCACTTAGAAATTATCACTTTTTAGTTGTTTGCCATTATGTGATGTAATTTTGAATGGAACTCTTTTTCATTAGATCCTAAACATATTTCATTCTCTTTTCCTTTGTTGGATATGGAGAATCTTCATAAATAGGTCCTTCCCTATGGGGTATCTTTATCTGAACTATGTGTTCCTCTGCACTTGTTGGCTTTCCCCCAGACCTTTAAAAAAGTTGTAGAGCTTTTTTTTGAATTTTATGTCAGCAGTCCAGTTCCATTTTGATTTAGGTGGAGTCCATTTTTCCTGTATAGGCTCCCCCTTTCCCTGAAGGCTGCCCAGTTCCCAATAAATCTAAACCCTTCTTCCCAACACCATCATCTCATCCTCCCATTGAGACCCTGCAGTTCTCCCTTTCTATTCTTTAAATTTCCTCCATAGTTGATTGGCACAGTGGGTATTCCTGACTGATGAATGTGCGATTTCAGTAGCCTTAAAAATAAAAATAACCTTTTTTTTGGAACTTCAGTATCTTTTCCTGACCCCTTCTCTCTTCTGTTAGACATAAAATCTACAATATTTAGATGACAGTGAGATCAGTCTCTGAGTTACTTTGTATTTGCTATATCCTGCATATTTGTTTTAAAATCTTTCAATGCAAATAATTATTTCAAAAATATATAATTTAAACAAGCTTTATGTTGTTAAGAATAGAGTGTAATCATGGAGAAGCTTCACTTCTTAGTGTTGAAGTTGTGACTTTAAATATATTTCCCCAGCTCTGTTTTTGGAAACTGAAACCTGTAGTACTAGGCTACTCTGTAGGAACCTTTTCAATTCCACTTTTCATTGAAAGCTTTCTCTATAAATATGGGTATGTCTACACTACAGCGTTATTTTGAAATAGTTATTCTGAAATAGCTTATTTTGAAATAACACATCTAGATACAAAATGCATTTTGAAATAGCATTTGCTATTTTGAAATAGTGTGTCCACATTGATAGGATGCTGAATCGCATTTAAGGCCAGCCGGAACCAGTTCTGGTAGGGCATCAGGTCAGGAGTTACCTTGTGTGGCTGCTGCCTGAGGCTATCTGAGACCTGTGCTTAAAGGAACCCCCACAGACAGCCGGTTCTCAAGTTTCCCTGCTTTCCTGCCTACCTCGCTGAAGGACAGCAAAGCATTTTTTTCTCTGTGTGCTCTGGTTGCCCTCACTCAGGACACTACAGCACTCTGCAGCATGGAGCCGGAGCCGCCCCTGAGCACTCTGGTGCTTTCCTGGACATGTTGCTGTGAGCCTGGCAGCACATTCTGCAGGCAGTAACAGTCTCCCTGGTGTGCCCCACTGGGGGTTTGTGCCTCATTCCTCCCTCACGTCCTTCCACTTACCCCTCCCTAGCCCCCCTTCCTGCTGTACAATAAAAGACACATGTTCATTACAACAAAGCCTCTTTATTGAACAAAAATGGGGTGGGGAGAATGAAACTGAGGTGGGAGAGGGGAGGAGGGAGGGTGGGAGAGAGGAGGGAGAAACCTGGGAGGAGGGAGCTGGCAGGGGGAAGCAAGAGGAGGAAGAGTGAGGAGAAGCTCAGGGCTCAGGGTTGGGGGGCCTCAGCATCCCTGGGATGTGGGGAGTGTGGGAAGGAAGAAGCAAGAAGGGGAGAAGGAGTGGAAGGAGGAGCGATAGCTGGAGATGCAGCAAGGGCTGGAGCAGCAGGAAGCTCTGCCCCAGAGTCGATGACCACCATGGGGGCATGGACAGTTCTGCCCCCCAGGATGTTGTCCACAGCATCAAAATAAGGGCAGGGGTCTGAGTTTCCCCTGGGTTGGGAGCTGCCCCCTGTGGCCCTGGCATACACCTACTGCAGTTCCTTTATTTTCATGTGAACCTGCTCCTCCTGGCTCTGGGTTTGCATGGGCCTTTGGTGGCTAGGATGGCAGCCGTCCGCCTCTAGACGGCCGCATTTCTCCATTTAGTGTGGAGATCATGGACGTTGGAGGCATCCCCCCAAACCCAAATTAGGTCCCTGATCTCCGCACTGGACCAGACAGGTGCCCACTTTTTCTGGCTCCTGGCAGGCTCCTGGGAGCTGGCAGACTGGTCCTGGGGAGTGGTGGAGGGCTGTCTGGCACTGGCTGCCTGGCTCATGCTGGGGCCACTGGGTCAGGTGCAGTGACTCCTGGCTCTGGGCTGGCAGGCTTGGAGCTGGCACAAGCACTGTGGCCAGAGTCTGCCCCTTTAAGGGCTCTGGGGAGTGGGAAAGGGAGAGGAGTTTTCTTGGTTGTGCCCAGAGTGCCCACCAGGGCACCCTGGGATGGGCTGGAGGCCCTCTATTTTGAAATAAGCGTCTACACACTGCTTATTTCAAAATAGGCACTATTCCTTGTGGAATGAGGCTTACCAATTTTGAAATAAGCCCTCCACTATTTCGATTTAATTTAGAAATAGTGGTTTGGCTGTGTAGACCCTGGTACGGTACAGTTATTTTGAAATAATGGCTGTTATTTTTAAATAAGTTTGCTGTGTGGATAAGTTTCTTAGAAACTTAGAATTTGAAACACTGATATTTTCATGTAATCACATGACTTCAGGAGCTGTGGTTTAATGTCATGAGACTCATAATAAAATGCCCAGAGTTCACGTGTGTACTTCCTTGTGTGCAATTTTGTAGTGGGACTCTGCAGTTCTCTAAACAGAATTCTCTGTTTTGTCTAGTGTTTCTCATTTGTGGGGGAATGGAAGTGGAAGGTTGTAGTTTGTTGCATAGGCAAGTTTCTCCGCTCATATGAATCACCACTGGCTTCAAAAGGATTCATGCAGTCACAACAGCCAACAAAATGTCACAAATGATATGACCAATACCTTCAGTTGCAAGCTCTTCAAGGCAGGAACAGTCTTGTTGCATGTTTAAGGTGCTGTAGAAGTGCTTAGCAAAGACACAATAGTTATAAAAGTACTACACTTGAAGGCTAGCCATAACTGAATATTATTTAACTTAGCTGCTGAAAGGGCTAATAATTTGCTAATGTAGGTGTTTGTACAGTTTCACATTTTAACTGGCCAAATCACTTCTCCCACCCATCAGATACATAGCACTAGACTGAAACACACAAATAAATCAACATATTGATTTGTTCTTAAAACAGAGTATTTATTTCCATTTTTATGATGTAAGCAAAGGACAAGTAATGCCTGGTCAACTCTAGTTTGGTCCATAATGTCCTCTGTTTTCTCTCTGATGTCTGTAGAGATACAGTAACGTTACCCTTTGCTCAGTAATGATATTACCACCATGTGGCATACCTAACAACAAAATGATTTGTTTAAATCTGAAATATACTGGGACATAAGAAACAAAGGAAGAATTCCTTTGATTTTTAGTTCAAAGGTTTTAGAATGACAACACAGACTGCCACCTACCTGACTTTGGGAATGAGTGTGCTGATTTTGCTGCTCAGGCCTTCGGTGCTTTCATCTGATGTTTCCAGCATTTAAAAAGAAAAAGACAGGAAATTAAATTCCAAGCTATATTCCAATAAATAACACTGAAACCACCATACTAGCTTCCGTATTATTGGAAAATGTCAATGACTTCTGACATTAATAACATTTCTATGAGGTAAAAGATTCATGCTGTTTTCTTGGATGACTAATCTCTGGCATTGCTATTTTGTGCAGGCTAAAATATAATTATATCTGTAATATATTCCAAAGGTTTGCACCGTAAAGAAGATAGAGATGGCAGCACTAAGAACTTGTCCATTAGCAACTTTTGTTAGAATTCCAGACCAAACATGAGCAGGTCACAGTTTCTGACTCCATGGCCAATTCTCAGAAAAGGGCCCGTCTGGCCAAATCTTGCCTGAGGTTCTCACTTACTACCATGTTGTGAAGGGGTGTATAAAGTCCACACTGGACATGAGCAGAAAGGGGCTAATATTCTGCCCTGTAGGTAGGGTCTGAGATTGATGTTGCTGCCTCCAGTAACATGTGCCAGAAATGCCAAGCCAAAGGGAGAACCTTTTGCTAATTAGGAGTTAAGCAGAAAATGAAAGGAGGAGGGCACTTCCAGTGATCTGGTTTCTCTGAGGTAAAGGGGACTTTTTTTGTAAGCCTAGAGAGAATGGCATGAAATTGGAAACTGTTATGCATATTGTATTAAAAATATTAATACATAACACACAACATAAAATATCCTGATTTATTAATGTTAAAAGTAAAATTTGTTAATTAAGCCTGATAAAATAAATGTTTAAATATTTAAAATTAAGTAATATTCTGTAAAAATGAGAAACGTGGTACTATTCACCATGGGCAATACTTAATCTAAATCTAGGCTCCAGGCCAGGGGTCTGAGTTCTCCTGATCATGTACACATACAAAACTGGTGGATACTGTGCCTCTTCTGCCACTATCTATGGCTCCTGTGTCCACACTGATATTCATACTTGACCTATTGCAGTGATAGCTAGCAGGAGGAGGAATCACAAGCAGGAAGAATCACATTCCATCCAGTTCATAGTGTAGACATACTCTTAGAGGACAGATTTTCCTCTATACATAGTGATAAATTCAGAGAAACTCCACCCACGTGGCTGAAAGTTTTTCCCAGTGATTTAAATTCCTGTATCAACATATTTTATATTGGTTTGAATTGGAACTGTAATATTTTATTACTAGAGTTGAAACTTGTTTTTATGGATTTTATTATAAGCCTAACTTGTCAAGACACTAAACATAATGTACATCATAATATCTTTGAAGTATAGCTACACTTTATATATTCACTTGGCAAATTTCTACTTTCAACTATGCTGATGTAAATCTGTAGTAATACTATTTTGTCCAATGGATTTGACCTCCACTTTGCTGAGAATGTGACCAGAATTCAGCCCAGGTGTTTATAAAAGTATTTGATTCCATGTGTCAGATTGAAACCCACAGACTAAATGATTTGAAAATTCCATGAATATGTTTTGCCATACTTAATTTTCATTCAAAATCCCATATGAACTTTCTCATTGTAATGCTTTTAAGAAAAATTCCTAGTACCTTAACTGGAAAGTAGGTCCATTTCAGAGACTTAATCCATTCCTATCTAGAGTCTGTATTGGAGATTTCCTAATTGATTTCCATTTCCATATAAGAATGTAACTTTGTTGCTCCTGCTAAACTTTGGCTAGAAATACAATCTCCTGATTACTGTTGCAAACATATTCTTAGCAAATGATATTAATTAATTTTGCAGAATAGTTCCTCTTTTAACCTCACTTTCATGTATTTGTAATTTGAAACATTCACCTCGAAGGGCTGAATTTTTCTATACCTGGGTTATTCATGAAGACTAAATTAGTTGACAGGTTTGATCAAAATCCTGTGTTTGATTTTTAATTTAAGGGAGAGTAAGTGAGAAATTACACTCCCCCCTCCCTTTTTTTCAAAGCATGCATTCTTTTAAATCGTTTTTCATCAAAACAGGCTGAAATCTGAATGATAAAACTTGGCACATCATAGTAATCACTGAATATTAAGTGCCTCTTTTGAAAAGAGTTGATTTTAATTTACCAAAATTAGGAGCAATTGAAAATTTCATACTAAAAATGTAAAGAAGAATTCAGCAGAAGGGGGGAAACTTGGCAGATGCCTACTGCTATTGAAGTGTGCTGTCTGTCTTCTCCTGTTCTTTGGCCTGAGCCCAAAGCCCTTTTAAAACCTCCCCTCCCCCTAAAATGTTCAATCATTCTTTCAAATTTAAACCAGTCTCCAGCATTAAATCTAAAGAGCAAGATAACTTTCCTGAACTATTTAAGGGCTGAGATTCTTTTAAGTTATGAAAAACTTATTTTATGTTTTTTCCTTAGAAATGCACAGTTTATAAATGTTCCTCTATAATTAAAGCAACCTGCTGTGCTCAGTTACTTTTGAAACCCAGTTGAACTAGTGAGCATTAGAGAAGTGCAAGTGAGAAATGAATGTGGCATTGGGTCTGTAGTACTTATTTTGAGGATCTCTTGTTAATTTGGATCTGTTTCATCTTCAGGTTCATAGCTTATGATCAACCTTGAATGGCATTTGGTCACTTGTGCCTATTAATAGGGACCACAAAATTCATTGTGTGTTGGGATCTCTAGGGTGAAACTGCAGGACCACTGTACCTCCCTAACCTTGCTACCTGGGCTTTGTCTCTCAATGCTTTGCTCGAGGCAAGGGCAAACCCTCCCAGGTGCTGTGATCATTTATCACAACAGAATGTGGAGCCCCACAACGAGCTAGATTGCATGAATGCTCTGAGACGCTCACCAATCACACAGGCTATGTCTACACTGCAAGCTTTTTGCGCAAAAATGGCTGAAAAAATGAGGAAGAACGGCTCTTGTGCAAGAGAGGGTTTTTGTGCAAAAAGGAGCCGTCTACACAGCTCCTTTTTGTGCAAAAAACTCTTGTGCAAAAACAGCCCCTAATTAATTATGCAAATGAAGTGTGGCGATATTCTATTCTCTGTTTCATTTGCATAAGCTTTTGAGGAAGAAGGGTGCAGTATAGATGTAGCCTAACTGATTATAAGTAGTAGGCAGAAGAGGTCAGAGATAGTCGCCAAAGATAATAAAAGGTAAGTGTGCAGAAGGGAGCATGGCTATCCCAGACCATATCACTGTTTCTTCTGCACTGCTGCTTTTAGCAGAGATGGGTGGCCAGAGAATGGTGGCTGCTGGCTGAGAGGTCAGTTCTGAAGGCAGCATTGCCACTGGCAGCAGCTCTGAAGTAAGGGTGGAAATACCACAAGTGCCCTATACTAGCCTTGAGACTCCCACCACAAATCCCTTTTGGGTCAGGAGCCTCACTGTGAAATTTCAGATTTAAATCTCTCAAACTGTGAAATTCATAATTTTTAAAATCCTTTGTGAAATCGACCAAAATGAAGCTCACATTTGCTAGGGTCCTGCCTATTAGTTAAAGAAGTAACTTTTCGCATTTTGTTGTATTTATATATGCAAATGTAAGAGGACTACCAGAGGGTTACAAGTCTCTCTCCGTGCTGATCCATTCAGGATAGGAGTAGGAACAACCCTATTTATGGAGCTTTAGCTCAAGATGTGGCAACTTATCTTTTAGCTGTAGAGGTCCGTGGGATGGCAGACATCACACACTGAAGTTCCAAAACCAACATTAACTTAGTACTAGTTTAAATTTCTGCTTTAACTATGAGAACAGAATACAATGCGGTATATACAATGTAGCAAAATAACATTATTTGAGTTAGCTTTTACGGCACTCTTTCTTGCTTCTTTTTGTTTTGTTAGCCTATTCTTGCATTAATGTAGGGGTTCATGTTTTATTTGAGTGGGTTTAGGAGGAAAATATGTGGTAGGGAAGAAATACATTTTCCCATGGCAACATGTCTGCAGTTAGAAATTCTCAGTCATTGAACCCCTGCAGAAACTGTATTAATTAACAAAATAGTACATCGATTTCTGAGCCAACAGAC